TAGGAGTTGACAGAGAAATCGTTATAGCTATAGAAAGAAATCATATCTGAAGGGGTGACAGAGAAACATTACCCTAAGGTTGCTAGAAATCATATACCAGGGGTGACAGAGAAATCATATCCTAGGAGTAGACAGAGAAATCGTTATAGCTATAGAAAGACATCATGCATGAAGAGGTGACAGAGAAACAACACCCTAGGGTTTCTAGAAATCATATACCAGGGGTAACAGAGAAATCATATCCTAGGGGCTGACAGAAAAATAATACCCTAGGGGCTGACAGGGATAATCAATACATAGGGAGTGACAGTGAAATCATACCCTAGGGGAGACAGAGAAACAATACCCTAGGGTTACTAGAAATCATATACCAGGGGTAACAGAGAAATCATATCCTAGGAGATGACAGAGAAATCGTTTTAGCGAGAGAGAGAGAGAGAGAGAGAAAACATACATGAGGGAGAGACAGAGAAACAATACCCTAGGGTTACTAGAAATCATATACCAGGGGTAACAGAGAAATCATATCCTAGGAGTGGACAGGGATATCGTTTTAGCGAGAGAGAGAGAGAGAGAGAGAGAAATCATACCTGAAGGGGCGACATAGAAACAATACCCTAGGGTTGCGAGAAATCATATACCAGGGGTGACATAGAAATCATATTCTAGGAGATGACAGAGAAATCGTTTTAGCGAGATAGAGAGAAATCATACCTGAAGGGGCGACATAGAAACAATACCCTAGGGTTGCGAGAAATCATATACCAGGGATGAAAATATCCTAGGAGTTGACAGAGAAATCGATATAGCTAGAGAAAGAAATCATGCCTGAAGGGGCGACAGAGAAACAATACCCTAGGGTTACTAGAAATCATATACCAGGGGTAACAGAGAAATCATATCCTAGGAGTGGACAGGGATATCGTTTTAGCGAGAGAGAGAAATCATATCTGAAAGGGTGACAGAGAAACAATACCCTAGGGTTGCTAGAAATCATATGCCAGGGTTGACAGAGAAATCATATCCTAGGAGTTGAGAGAGAAATCGTTATAGCTATAGAAAGACATCATGCATGAAGAGGTGACAGAGAAACAACACCCTAGGGTTTCTAGAAATCATATACCAGGGGTGACAGAGAACTCATATCCTAGGAGTTGACAGAGAAATCGCTATAGCTATAGAAAGAAATCATACATGAAGGGGTGACAGAGAAACAATACCCTAGGGTTACTAGAAATCATATACCAGGGGTAACAGAGAAATCATATCCTAGGAGTTGAGAGAGAAATCGTTATAGCTATAGAAAGAGATCATACCTGAAGGGGTGACAGAGAAACATTTCCCTAAGGTTGCTAGAAATCATATTCCAGGGGTGACAGAGAAATCATAGCCTAGGAGTTGACAGAGAAATCGTTAGAGCTATAGAAAGAAATCATACCTGAAGAGGTGACAGAGAAACAACACCCTAGGGTTTCTAGAAATCATATACCAGGGGTAACAGAGAAATCATATCCTAGGGGCTGACAGAAAAATAATACCCTAGGGGCTGACAGGGATAATCAATACATAGGGAGTGACAGTGAAATCATACCCTAGGGGAGACAGAGAAACAATACCCTAGGATTGCTAGGAATCATTTACTAGGGGTGACAGAGAAACCATATCCTAGGAGTTGACAGAGATATCGTTTTAGCGAGAGAGAGAGAGAGAGAGAGAGAAAACATACATGAGGGAGAGACAGAGAAACAATACCCTAGGGTTACTAGAAATCATATACCAGGGGGGACAGAGAAATCATATCCTAGGAGATGACAGAGAAATCGTTTTAGCGAGAGAGAGAAATCATATCTGAAAGGGCGACAGAGAAACAATACCCTCAGGATGCTAGAAATCATATACCAGGGGTAACAGAGAAATCATATCCTAGGAGATGACAGAGAAATCGTTTTAGCGAGAGAGAGAAATCATATCTGAAAGGGCGACAGAGAAACAATACCCTAGGTTGCTAGAAATCATATACCCGGGGTGACAGAGAAATCATATCCAAGGAGTTGACAGAGAAATCGTTAAAGCTAGAGAAAGAAATCATACCTGAAGCGGTGACAGAGAAACATTACCCTAGGGTTGCTAGAAATCATATACCAGGGGTGACATAGAAATCATATTCTAGGAGATGACAGAGAAATCGTTTTAGCGAGAGAGAGAAATCATATCTGAAAGGGTGACAGAGAAACAATACCCTAGGGTTGCTAGAAATCATATACCAGGGATGAAAGAGAAATCATACGTTAGGGGTGAAAGAAATCATATATACTAGGGGTGACAGATAAACCATACTCTAGGGGTGACAGATAAACCATACCCTAGGGGTGACAGATAAACCATACCCTAGGGAGTGACAGAAATAATATAGTAAGGGTGACAGAGAAATCATATACTAAGGGTGACAGATAAACCATACCCCAGGAGTGCCAGAATATCCTAGGGGTGAGAGAGAAATCACACCCTAGGGGAGACAGAAATCATATCCTAGGAGCTGACAGAAAAATAATATTCTAGGAGCTGACAGAGATAATCATTACACAGTGAGTGACAGTGAAATCATACCTAAGGGAGTCACAGATAACTCATACACTAGGTGGTAACAGAAATCATACCCTAGGGGTGACAGAGAAATCATATCCTAGGGGTGACAAAGAAATCATACCCTAGGGGTGACAGAGGTCATATCCTAAGGGTGCCAGAGAAACCACGCCTAAGGGTTGACAGAAATCATACGCTAGGGTCGACAGAGAAATAATACCCTAGGGGTGACAGAGAAATCATAACCTTTGGGTGACAGAAAAATCATATACTAAGGGTGACAGATGAACCATACCCCAGGAGTGACAGAATATCCTAGGGGTGAGAGAGAAATCACACCCTAGGGGTGACAGAAATCATATCCTAGGAGCTGACAGAAAAATAATATTCTAGGGGCTGACAGAGATAATCATTACACAGTGAGTGACAGTGAAATCATACCTAAGGGAGTCACAGATAACTCATACACTAGGCGGTAACAGAAATCATACCCTTGGGTGACAGAGAAATTATTCCCTAGGGGCAAAGAGAGAGAAATCATATTCTAGGGGTTGACAGAGAAATCGTTTAAGAGAGAGAGAAATCATACACTAGAGGGTGACAGAGAAATCATACCCTAGGGGGTGACAAAGAAATCATACCTGAGGGGGTAACAGAGAAATCATACCCTAGGGGCTGACAGAGAAATCATACCCTAGGGGGTGACAAAGAAATCATACCCTAGGGGCTGACAGAGAAATCATACCCTAGGGGGTGACAAAGAAATCATACCCTAGGGGCTGACAGAGAAATCATTCCCTATACCCTAGGGGGTGACAGACAAATGATCCCCATCTCATCAAAATAGGACATATAGTTTTATAAGAGAAATACAAAATCTGATTGTTTCATATTTTGCACTAAGTTACTCCCTATAAACCCCTGAGGGGTCAGACCCTTCCAGACTAGAATTCTTATCCTCATCATCAAAGCATCTTTTTGAGAGATTTTTGTGAAAATCCACTCATTACTTTCACAGAAGAAGTCTTTTATGGGTTCTGCATTCTATATCTTGCTATGGCACCGCCCCTCAGTCCTCAAGAAGTCTTGATATTATCTTTAAATTGAATATTAGATAGTATAATTATATCACCTAATTGAAGCTGCCGAGAACGTTTATATATATGATAACCCTATATAATAATATTTACACCTATCTTTAGAACAATGTCTGTGTGAGTTGACTTGCTCAAGCACTCAACACCTCTGAACATAGAACGTCTAACATTTCAGCAGAACAGGCCCACTAAGAATCCTCAATATTGATGACGATGAAACAGAAAATACAAATGGTACAAGAAGGAATAGCAGACAAGGGGGCAGATCCAGGGGTCCAAGAGGACGACATCCAAGAAACCCTGAGTCCTCTCAGAGTAGAAGTGAAAGCAGAGGCGGTAATGCAGAGAGAGGACATAGAGGAGATGGCCGAGGACGAGGCAGTAGGGGTGGAAGAGGCGGGTCTAGAGGAGCATCTGGTGGATTGACTCGAGGAGCATCTGGTGGATTGACTCGAGGAGCTGCTGACCTCCGAAGATATTCTTCTCTCAGTAGATTGGATACGGTACCAAACAGAAATGAGGATGTACAAGATGCTACTAATGCTAGATACCGTGATAGTTCGAGACCAAGAAGAAATGATACTCGTTCCAGACCACCAAGAATGTTTGGCTACAGGAAACTCAGTGAGCTCAGTGAAAAGACCAATTCAGATGATGTTCTAATGGAATTACTGTTGGAAAGTAGTGGATTTCAAACTCTATTAAAGAACATTAACATGCAGATCGACTGGAGTAGATTGCTTCTATCTGTACTAGGAAAAGCTTGCTCCTCTTCTAAAAGCCACAGCAAGTTACAGTTAGTGGGATTAATGGTTCAAGAGAATGTCATGATGCTTCAAGTGACCACATTCCTTGCAAAAATCAAGTCCAGGATTGCTGTGATGTCCCCTGACCATCTTCAGTGCATGATTCAAGATGTTTGCAAGATAATGAAAGAGTTGATGCAACGAATGCCACAGGAGGTCCACACTGTTAGTAGTGCTGTGTTGATGTTAGATGCTATTGCTGAGGACCATACATTCAATTTACAACAGAATCCAGATATTTTGGAATTGATTAATGATGTATCTACAATTATGAAAACACTTGTAAAGGACATTGACAACCAAAGAAGAGATAAAAACATTCAACCTGGTGGCCGACGGAATTATAGAGACATGGAATCATTGCCTCCCCCAAACAATTTCAGAGAACTTCCGATACTGCCTGATCTGAAGGACCTGCAATTCAATGAGAGACCTTTTATCAGGAGAAACAAGATTGATGGCAGCTATGATGACTTGCATCATTATCTGGACGTACAGTTCCGTCTCCTAAGGGAAGACTACATCCAACCATTGCGGAATGGAATCACAGAGTACAGGAGGGGCAAGAAGGATGCCAAACAGAGATTCCAAGATATCCGTCTGTATAACAAGGTCAAGGTTATTAGACCAGTCTGCTCAAACAGCGGGATTCTACATGTCATACAGTTTGATGTGTCCAAGATGCAGAAAATGCGTTGGGAATCTTCTCGTCGACTTATTCATGGTTCACTTGTGTGTCTGTCCCAAAATGACTTTGAGACGATTCTATTTGCCACTGTTACAAACCGTGATGTCAAATTACTTCAACAAGGACTAATAGAAGTCCAGTTCAAAAACAACTTCCAAAGTGTTTTTGACATCAAACCAAGCGAGGAATTCATCATGGCGGAAACTACAGCTTATTTTGAGGCTTACCGGCACATCTTGAGAGGACTTCAGGAGATAGAAGACGGTCTGCCGATGCAGCAATATATTGTAGAATGCAAGCAAGTTTTAAAACCACCGAAATATATACGAAACAATATCCACTACTATGATTTCAGTCCTCTTTTACCTAAGCAACATTCCAGTACAGAGTACGTTCCAGTCATAAACACACGTCAATGGCCAAGTGCAGCAGAGCTACAGATGGACAAATCCCAGTACCGGGCACTGCAGATGGCAGTAACCAAAGAGATGGCACTCATCCAAGGCCCTCCCGGTACAGGAAAGACGTTTGTTGGATTGAAAGTCATGCAGCTCCTTCTCCACAACTCCGATGTCTGGAGACGATCAGACGACACAGACGACGAAGACACGCCAAACGATTCCATATTGGTTGTATGTTACACAAATCATGCACTTGATCAGTTTTTGGAGGGAGTATCTGAATTTTGCGATAGCATTGTTCGTATTGGTGGGCGTTGCAGCAACCCGATTTTGGAACCTTTCATGTTGAGTAATCTTCGAAAGGAAGCTAGAATGAATAGACAGATTCCGAAACTAATTTGGGAGAGGAAAGCAGATTGCAGGAAACAAATGAATGTTCTCAAAGACAAAATTGAAGATGTCAGCGCCAAACTTGACGCTTCTCGGCTTGGTATAATGCAGGAGAAAACGCTTGAACTGTTCATAAAGGAGCAGCATTATACAGAACTAATATCCGGCCGTCTGAGAAACAAAGAATTTTCTGCAATTCAATTTTGGCTGTCAAGTGACTTGCAAAATGTCATTCCTCAAACAAAAGAAGACACTTCAACAAGAACCTCTGCTGCTGAATATTCATTATATTCAAATTGGATTGACAAAGTCATAAATGGGCCTTCATTTGAACTCGGAAGTGAAAACATTCTGCAAGGAGACCTATGGACCAAAAAACTCGTTGAAAGGTTATGCATATATAAGCAATGGGTAAACTCATATATATCTTACAAACAGAAATGTATTGATGATGTTACTGAGGATGTCCAGGCACTTGTAGAGGGAAACAAAAAATCCGACAAGACAGACCTTCAACACAAGCAGATGCAACTTCAAAGACTTCAAAAAGACGTCCAAACGGCAGAGACACAAATTATGTCGGAGAACGCTTTGAAGGATGGCCTCAGATTGGAGCTACGTCAACATTTAGACAGCCTGCTTAAAACAAAATCGTATACACCTACCAACTGTTCTGTAATGGAACACTGGTTACATATAAACGATAACACCGATTCCCAAGGACTTTTCGCCGAGGCTCTAGAAGCTTTAGCATCAGTATCGGAAACCATAGACACACTGGAGGAAGCCGAAGCCGCTGAACTGGAGCGCATTGTTTATGTCGACGAGGAAGAAGATATTAAACAACCGAAACTCCATGAAGAGATGTTGTCTAGGGCAATGGCTGATTTAGCATATACTTTCACTGGAACTGACAACATGACTGAAGCTGTAGGGACTGATACACAGTGGCAGGTGGCAACTTCTACGAAAAACACGAAAGCGGTGATGCGTAGAATGCTGGAGCAGAGTCAGGCAATGTCAGAAAAGGAGGAGTCACGGCAGCCTGCTGATGTCTGGACTTTGTCTGTCGGGGCCAGGTTTTCCCTTTACAAACTTTGGCTTTCAAGGTATCAGGATTCCCTCAGTTCGTCTATTCAAGATATAGTGCAACAATATTCAGATATCTGTGATGTATATCAAGAAGTCATGGACTGTGAAGATGTGGATGTCATCTCGGGAGCACGGGTTATTGCTATGACGACGACTGGGGCTGCAAAATATAGAAACATCCTGAGATCTGTTAACCCCAAGATCATAGTAGTTGAAGAGGCAGCCGAAGTGTTAGAATCTCACATAGTATCCACCATTAATTCTAACTGCCAACACCTGATCCTCATCGGCGATCACAAACAGCTACGACCTACTCCTACAGTGTACCAGCTAGCTGTTCACTACAACTTGGAAATATCATTGTTCGAAAGAATGATAAAGAACGAAATTAACTTTGTCACCTTAGAACTGCAACATCGCATGCGACCAGAGATTTCGAAGCACATGCGACACATCTATCCGGAGCTGCGAGATCATCCCTCTGTATTTGGAATGAAGGACGTCCTTGGAGTTGAAAGAAATATATATTTCATCGACCACAGTTTTCATGAGACATTCCTGGGAGAAACGAAGAGTCGCTCGAATAGCCATGAAGCCGAATACATCGTGTGTCTGTGCAAATATCTGCTCCAGCAAGGATACAAGCCTACACAAATCACAGTTCTGACAATGTATACTGGTCAGGTGTTTGCTCTGAAGAAACTCATGCCTAAAAAGGATTTTGAAGGTGTTCGAGTGACAGCCGTCGATAACTACCAGGGAGAGGAAAATGATATTATTCTGCTCTCTTTGGTAAGGAGCAACAACGATGGTAGTGTCGGATTTTTGAAAACAGACAACAGAGTCTGCGTCGGCCTTTCCAGAGCTAAGATGGGATTTTACGTGATCGGAAATTTCTCTCTCCTGTGTTCGAAGAGTAACTTGTGGTCAAATATCGTTCAAACTCTCAAAGACAACAATGCGTTTGGATCGTATCTGACGCTGAAATGTCAAAATCACCCAGAGAAAACTGTCAAAGCTACAATGAAGAGTGACTTCAGCAAGACACCAAATGGAGGCTGTACCACACCGTGTGAAACACGTCTACCTTGTGGTCATGTTTGTGAACAATATTGTCATATCTTTGACAGTGCTCATCAGAAATACCGTTGTTTGAAGCCATGTGCTAAGGAGGTTTGCGATAAAGGACATGTTTGCACTAAGAAATGCTGGCAGGAGTGTGGGAAATGCGTGATGAACATTATCAAGACTATTCCAGTATGCGGGCACAAGCAATTAGGCCCATGTCATCAGGATCCCCACAGTTTCAAGTGTCGGTCAAAATGCGAGGTAAAGCTGAGTTGTGGTCACATATGCAGCGGAAATTGTGGAAAGTGTAAAGAATACAACACCCACCAGATTCAATGTCCAGAGCTCATTCAGCGCAAATTGATTTGTGGACATTTGATACAGTGCAAGTGTTACCAAAGAATTGAAGACTTCTCTTGCACGGAAAAGTGCACTACTAAATTAGATTGCGGTCATCCCTGTTCTGGAACATGTGGAGGTTGTTTCCAAGGACGCTTACATCTTCCTTGCTTCGAGAAGTGCACCCAGATGTTAATATGTGGGCATAGGTGCGGTCAGAAGTGCGGTGAACCATGCCCCCCATGCGTTAAGAAGTGTGGTCTTCGATGCGAGCACAGTGCGTGCTCTGTAATATGTGGCAAACCCTGCCTCCCATGTACAGAGCCTTGTACATGGGCATGTGAACACCAAAAGTGTACGAGACTTTGTCACGAGATGTGTGACAGGATACCATGTGACATGCCATGTCCACAGAAACTTGAATGTGGTCACTCTTGCTCTGGACTCTGTGGGGAAGTGTGCCCGAAGATATGCTATTACTGCGACGAGGCAAAGGCGAAGGAAATCTTCAAAGATGCTACACCTGCCACTAGATTCATAGTGCTGGTGGACTGTACGCACACAGTTGAAAAGGTTACCATGGATACCTGGATGAACAGTGATACACCCAACTCGAAACCATTTAGTCCCCTGGAAATAAAACAATGCCCGACATGTAATAAACCAATCTTAAACAGCAAGAGGTATGGCAATATTATCAAACAATCACGTGGCCTCATCAACGCTGTTAAACAGCAGCTTATTGGCAGTAAAAGGAAAATCCATACCCATTGCCAGCAAATGAAAGTATTGGTGGCCAAACTTCAACAGGTTGATACGGAAGGCTTCAATGTTTTGATGCGAAAACTTGAACCTATTTCTCAGGTGACGATGGCGTCTCTTGAAGTGGTCGATATCCAAAGAAACCTGCTACAATCTATCATCGACAAACTGCAAGAACTTCAAAGACTCCAAGTGACACAATACCAAAGGATGGGTATGCAGGCACAAGCGTCACTCAGAGCATTAAAAGGATGGGTAATAAAGACAAAATTCAAACCTAACAAGACGGATATCAAGTCCAAACCCCGAGAGACTTTCACTCCTCAAGAGCAAGTGGAGGTTAGGGAGGAGATGTTAAGACTATCATATGTAACAGAGGTGATCCGCTGCGCAGATCATAGCCACTTGTCAGGAATACCAAGCCTGACTACCCAGTATGACGACCTACATCGAATCTTGGAAGATGGGCGCCCTATGACGCAAAGTCTTGATGAGAAACTGATCAAGATTTTTAAGAGTTTGAATGCCAAAGACCCTTCATGTCAACCAATTGCCGAACAGAGATGTATACCAAAGTCCATGAATGATTTTGCTCAAAGAGGACGATGGCAGAAATGCAATGAAGGTATGTATAACATTTCTAGTCTCGAGTTAAAATAGTATATGAAATTCTGTAAAACAATTATTTTTTATTTAATTTTTTGCTTTTTTCAATTTCGATGTATTAAGGTGAACACTATTTTAGTGAAGATGTTTTCCGTTTCTGAAATATAAAGCCACCACAATATATCTCGTGTAAATCTGCGGAATTTTACGAAAAATACAGCTTTACAGTAAACAGAATGTTCACAATATTAATTTCACTTTAGAAGTCGATGTCGAACATTTAAAAATCAGATTTTTGTAATATATAAATATCTCTCAGAAACGGTATTTTAAATATGAATCATTATGCATGTAATAATATTCGAACAAAGCAAATAATGATGGTTATGTTTGCTCAAAAATAAAAATATGAAGCAGAATTTTCTTTCTGGAATAAATCTATTAGGTTTAATATTCATTGAACACCGTTGTAAGTTTTAATTGAGTATCTTTCAGTAGAGCAATTGATTCGAAGGTTTTAAGTATTTTTACAGGCATAGGGAAAATAATATTGTTTTTCACGATATTTAATTTTCACGTTTTTTTTTGTTGTTTTTTTCTTCTTTTCTATATATCATGTACTTGCGAAATTACAAGCAAATTCGTCAATACCTATCGTAGCACATTGTTCTGTGGTCAGAAGGCCAGAAATCCTAAAAAAATCTCGCAAAATTCAAACCTTTCTCTGTTCTTCTCACCAGATCTATTTTGAAAGAGCAATGGATTTCTATTTTTTACTTTATTGTTATTAATGTTTATTTATTTATTTTATCTTTTCAATTGTTCAACATTATATATATTTGAAGCAGAAAACCTATACTTCCACAAAGAGCTTCATCAATTGAAAAATGATATATATAGGTCGATATTGTTATATCCGGATTAGAGGTGCGACACCGAAAGACAAAGCTATGGATACTATGGTTCAGACGTAGTCAAATTTTCAAAAACAAATATTTTTACCGACACTGAAATATATTTTTTATACACTTTTGCAGCCAACCATTTGCTTTCTGCTGAGCAAGCAATAGGAACAGCATGTCCTCAGTGTTTGAAGGTGAAATTAGCCAAGAATAGCAATACACAACAGAAACCGCCTCAGACTCCGACAAGAAACACTCTTCATGTGGCTGAGAAGGTTGTAGGTCATAGAATAGCTGATGAAGACCTGGCTTCAACTTTCAATACCAGATCCGTTCCTCATTTAACTGGAAATAATTGGACAGTTGAAAATCTAGCAGAGCTCACTATGAAATATAAAAGTGACACTTCTTCAAACGCAAGTGTAGAGACGGAGGTAGCAGATGGGTATGTCAAATATACAGAGGAGGTGACTCCTATTCCAAAACCCAGAAGAAAGAAAATTGAAGTACCAAATGCCTATGATGTTATGGACTGGAAGGCGTTTCCTCCAAAACCTAGGAAGATGGACCAAGACCATGAGACGACGGATCTGCAGCTTACTGACATGTCATCGAAGCAAATACACGTTTCGGGTTATACAGGCCAAACTCAGGTTTCTCAAAACACTGACCGCAAGATGAATACATCGGAGAGGACCAATTCAGGTAGGACATTTTGTCCCATAAACAAGGGAAAACAAATTCATAGCCATTCCAAATTTTTATTGAAACGCATTTTAACCAAGAATCTATGGAGGAAGTTGTTCGATTAAGATAATTGCAAACAGAATGCTTTTGAAATAAAATAGTGAATATAAAGTACTTCTTTTAGCAGACTCAAATTTTAGCGTATCATGATTTTTTTTATACAGATTAGCGGATTGATGAATAGGAGCATTCACAATATGTGGTATAGAAAAAAAACTATATAAAGAAATGTCGATTAGTGCAATCATAATTTAACGCAATATTGAAAGCGCTGTAATAAAAGTACGCTAAAATGTTTACGTTAACAGTAACACAGCATTTATTGAGAGAACTCTGGCATAAGTCGGCATTTTCTTTGTACAGGCTCACCAGTAAGAATATCGTACGACAGAGAATCTCTAAAACGCTTGAGAACATCACCTTATTCACATGTATTTCCTCCCTGTCTTCATAGAGCAGATCTTCTATCCATTCTGAACATCCCTAACGACAGGGCAACCGAAGTAACAACAGGTATTTAATGTATTATGATCATTTAAGAGACTATTTTCAATGCAATATTCTTAACGTAATTTTGACGAAAATTTGAATTGCAAGTTACGGTGGTGTTTAGTTTAGATTTGTTCAACACAAGGTTATAAATAATTTTGTTCTTCGACATTTGAATTGATAGAAGTTATAGAATCAGAAGAGGTTACGGAAGCGAATAGAGAATCCATTAGGAGCATGGCTCCCTCCACCAGAGAAGATGTGATAAGCCGTGCCCAAAACAACTCCTACGGGTTACAATGGACTGACCCTAAGCCTGTTGTTCCGGTAGGGCAAACATATGTTACACACGGAGACGCCGGATTAAGAAAGACTTCCTTTACCTCTCAAACCGACAGGAAGCTTGGTAGGTCATCATTGATCATTGTTAAAGTAAAAGGAAACTTGGATATCGATAACATCGGTTTGATAACTAAAAGCATATAATTAAATTCGTTTATAGACACAGAACTAATACAGGTGTTCATCCACTCTCAAACGGACGTCAAGATGGATAGGATTTCAACGGTTATTATTATTATGCAAAATCCCAATTCTTTGTGGAAAATATAACCAACGAATATCAATATGCATGGTGTTTGATTTATAAAATTAACTCAAAAATATTTTTCCATCTTCAAAATTTTAATTGATAGAAGCTATAACATCTGAAGAGGCAGTGGAAATCAATAAGGAGGCGGTTAGGAAAATGAGTGTCCCCTCTAGAAAAGAAGTGATCGGTGGTGACCATTACGACCCAACTGGCTATCAGTGGACAGATCCGAAACCTGTTATGCGAGCTGCAAACACATCGTCACAACAAGCAGACGTAGGAATGAAACCGGCGTGCTTTACCCTTACAACGGACGTTAAGAGGGGTAGGTTTTCGTTGTCATTATGACGATGCAAAATCATGAAATGATGTCGTAAATGACGCGTACAAATATCGATGGCGTTTGATATATTAAATCAACCGAAAGTAAGTTTATTCACATTTACACAAAATTTAAATTGATAGAAACTACAAGATCTGAAGAGTCTATGGAAATTGAAACGAGGTCAGTTAGGGATATGATTAGCCGTTTCCAAAGCAAACCCGCCGGCAATCAGTTGACAGACCCTAAACCTGTTGAACATGCTGCAAAACCAACGTCACCTCCAGCAGACTGGAGAAAGGCGTACTTTACTCCTCAAACGGACGTTAAAACTGGTAGGTCTTCATCTGCTATTGTGTTTCATCCACCTCGTCCATATTCTCTAATTTCGATACATTCATTCATGACTCTACTGATTTCATTTCGCAACATATTTTCATCGAAATTTATACGAAGATCAAGTATGTGAATACCTCAGAAAAGTTCGTATTTCTTTGTCCCATGTCCCTTTTGCTACATATAGATCATATACATGGCTTACAGTGTACAAGATGAACGCTAGGGTTTGGTTTTCTGTTAATTCACTCTTCATTTCAAAATAAACTGAAATGACACTTGCGTTTTAACGAAAAATATTGCAAGTCTTTGTTTCAATTTTAGAAATTACGTCTTCATACGAAGAATACCGAAGACCAGATGTGAAGCCTGTTAGACCGAAATACTCACAATCCGCACCGGAAGTAGAAACAGAATTGAAAAAGACATACGATAGGATTCAGATAGAATCGGAGACAGGTAGGTTTTCTTACTGAACTCCAATTATACTTAGATAAACTTAAAGGTGTTTCTAATGTTATCTAAACTTTGAGGCGAAATGACATGGCAGACCAAGGTATTTAGTTTATTTAAGCAAAGAACAATTATATATGTTACAAATCTACCATTAATTTTGAAATAATAGGATTGTGAAAAATCACATACAAAAAATGAAAATTAATAACGTCGCGTTGCGCATAAATTTAAAACGTTACATTTTCGTCATTATATACAAACTAAAACTGTGATTGTAACCATGAGTGGCAGTAAATAAAGTTCATATAATGTTTATTGGTATATAAACATCTTTAAATCAATATTATCAATTTAAAAATACTTTTTTGCACAGCATACAAATTTCTCGCAATTTTTTTCCTTCAAGTGTCCCGATTTGGGTACTGTGACGTCATAAACACGTTCGTTGGTTTTAAGAACATAAAAAAACGAGCAAAATTTCAACAAATAGTTTTATTTTTCTCAGACTCGGTGCCTGCCAATCCACCAATCATTGGTCAAAAGCAGAGAACGAAGATGTTGTTCCAGTGCATTGAGAACAATTGTACTCAGTTGGAGGCTCCTGGACTTTCCGGGCGATGCCAGGAACACTATGCGATGCGCGAAGTGTCCCTACTGGAGCGATTAAAAAAGTTCTGGAAAAATTGATTGTACATGCATTTCCATGGCAGATATCACTTCGTTAAGCATACAACGTTGAGAGTTGTACATCACTCTCGATTACATTCATTAAAAGGAAATAGTTACGACCACAGGGAAATGTCTGTTTCTGTTGTCTATGGATCCTCCCTCTGTGATACATAGAAACAAGAAATGAAACTTAGGTATCGCTGACTTTAATCTGGTGTCGTTATATATCATAAAAAAAACCATATTATATACCTGTGTATATTAATTCATTATATTTGTGAACACTTTAGCATGTAGGCGTTACATGGTATCACAGGAAATGACGTCAATCTGGCCATCCATTGGCCCCCCTATATCTATGTAATACAGAAAGGTAGATCATATTATATTTCAATGCGGCCGCTAACGTACGTTATTCAAATTACTGATCATTATGTGTCATTTGATGTTTAGTTCTGAAAAAAGAGTGTTTGTTTTTTCTTAATTTTTATCCATGTTGTATCTATTTTTTATTTGCGCTGCTTTGTAAGGTTTCATTAGGTTGTGAAACAAACCTAGTGTTGGTGATTAGCTTTTATTTCCTGACTTTGTATTACGTATATTATATATCATTTAACTTATTATGTTTAGCGATATTGTTAGACTTTGGAACTAGTACTGTGAAAATATAATATCAAACAGTTCACTTTCATTAAAGCAAAATCGCCAACTTTTCATTCTTAAAGAATTTATTCAGAGCGGAAGATTTCTATTGAGAAATCCGCGCTTGATTTTGAAAGTTGTGGTTTTATTGTAGTAGACTTTTTTGCTGATACAATAGCTGGTGTAAGTGGCACAAGACATAAAGTTATGATGTCTTATTTCACTGATAATATTATACACAAACAAAACAAAGATATGTAAATAATGCATGTTGCAATGGACGTTTCCATTATTGAGTTCATGATCCTTTGTTTTGAGGTGACCCATCCTCGACATCCAGGGGTTGACCCATCCTCGATATCCAGGGGTTGACCCATCCTCGATATCTAGGGGTTGACCCATCCTAGATATCCAGGGGTTGACCCATACTCGACATCCAGGGGTTGACCCATCCTCGACATCCAGGGGTTGACCCATCCTAGATATCCAGGGGTTGACCCATTCTCGACATCCAGGGGTTGACCCCTCCTCGACATCCAGGGGTTGACCCATCCTCGATATCAAGGGGTTGACCCATCCTCGACATCCAGGGGTTGCCCCATACTCGACATCCAGGGGTTGACCCATCCTCGATATCAAGGGGTTGACCCATCCTCGACATCCAGGGGTTGACCTATCCTAGATATCCAGGGGTTGGCCCATCCTCGATATCCAGGGGTTGACCCATCCTAGATATCCAGGGGTTGACCCATTCTCGACATCCAGGGGTTGACCCCTCCTCGACATCCAGGGGTTGACCCATCCTCGACATCCAGGGGATGACCCATCCTCGATATCCAGGGGTTGACCCATCCTAGATATCCAGGGGTTGACCCATACTAGACATCCAGGGGTTGACCCATCCTCGACATCCAGGGGTTGCCCCATCCTCGATATCCAGGGGTTGACCCATCCTCGATATCTAGGGGTTGACCCATCCTAGACATCCAGGGGTTGACCCATACTCGACATCCAGGGGTTGACCCATCCTCGATATCAAGGGGTTGACCCATCCTCGACATCCAGGGGTTGACCCATCCTAGATATCCAGGGGTTGGCCCATCCTCGACATCCAGGGGTTGACCCATCCTCGATATCCAGGGGACACGCTCACTTTCGCTCTCTAGCGTAGGTGATCGTAACCCCTGGAAATCGAGGATGGATGTGACCATGATCACCCACAAGTTGATATTTATCATCACGATACTTAATTATTGCAAAAAATGATGTTCAATAATTGAAAAAAATATGGTAATGGATTATGGCATGGCAACACGAGAGGCGTTCATTTTCATTTCGAAGGACACTTTCAAGTGCAGCTTCGGAGCGTTCGATACCGTCAATTAAAAACAAAATGCTAACAATATACAATATTGCTGAAGAAGCGATAATGTTATATTTCCTGTATATAGTGTACATAAGTATAAAATTTAGTTTTTGTAATGTAATGTATGTCCCATACCTACTACAGGTTTCCTCACACCTGAGCAGGTTCGGGAAAGAATTGACTTTGGTCCACATTAGTTGCCTCTTTTGTTATCGTTGAGTGGGATCAAACATTGCAGAATCGGAGTTTTCTGCGTCTTCCTAGAGGACATTGAAGATTTGCTTCTCACGATGCAACACTTTTGGCGTCTGCTTTTTTTTCGACGGTGTTTGTTTCTATAGGCATATGACATATAAACAATCCAAAAAATCAGTTCCCTCAAGAATTGAATAAATATACAAGGTGTAAACTAAACGTTGTGCTACCAATAGCTACCATCAGTCGCCAAGTGCAGCCATACAGTTATATTACCCCTGTCTATGCTGTAAATAAGTTAACTTTTTGCGAATAGATATTTTCGCGACCATTCTGTTTAGATGACTTATTTTAGAGGATTTCGGTAACTATTATAAGCATATTCTACCTTTGTTTTGCTGTTTATCATATTTCATTATTTATTTTATGTTTTTTTCTGCACAATATGTATGTCTTTTCAGTATCCATGAAATCATAACGCACTCGAGTGTATTTAGTGTATCAAAATATCAAGTCACATCTGTATATTATAAGTCACACTATTTGTAATATAGTGTTATCACATCGTCAGTTTGTATTGTAAGTCACATAATCTATATAAGTATATGTAGCTAATGTAATTCACGCTATCTGTATAAAGCAAGTCACAACAAGCATATAAAAGTACATTCCTGTACCGTTCTTTTTAAACTTTAATTGACAATATAGTACAGAAAAAATAAGATCATGAACATACATTATATATGCACTAAACAACATGCTTGCTTTAAGACTTTCTAAATTGAACATTGTTATTTTTTCGCCGATATTTTTTTCATTTAAAAGTAGTGGATGTTTTATTTCATGACATAATGTACTGTGTTATCCAGTGAATATACTCATGTCATATTTTGTTTGCGTAATAACCCATGTAATATGACCTATCAGCCCTGTGATTGGTTGCAAGTTTTAATTGTTTCAATTGTCACGTCACGCCTAGGACAAGTTAATGACGTCACAGACTTACGCACTGGAGTCAAAATGGCGGCTTTTTACATTTCTAGGTTGCATGAAAATTATCGTTTTACACGAATAAATGCTACAAATGTTGATTATGTGATAAAAAGGATCTTACACTCGTTTTCATTTCATAGCTATAAGAAATTTATGAAACTCGTCACGAATTTTCTAAAAAAATCTTACACTCGTTTCATAAATCCCAAATGAAATGAAAACGGGTGTACTATCCTATATATATATGTGTTATATTTTATACATATTGCATTTTAAGGATCCTTGTCCCACTGCAGTGTGACTTTTCGTAAATATAGTTACCTCCCCTTTATTTTGTTTTGGATGTTACTGTAGCCCAGTTGACCCAGGATACGTTCATTGACCGTGTAGCTTTGTCGGTTAGAGCGATAGTATACGAATCTGAATTCCAGGGCCCAAATCCAGTTTTTTCTGGGGATTTTTTTTTACTCTCAAAACACTGTTGATGATTATGTTTAGTGTTATTTTATCTTTATTACCTTTCATCAAAGTCCCGAAAGGTATGTTTTTCTTCCAGAAGTGATTTATCGAAGCTATAGTCATGCAGGAAAAATGGTTTACAATGCGTTGTTAACGGTTTTAGCAGTGGCACAGAGATCCTTAACCCTTTCACCCCTATGTAACCTAAGTAGACTCTTCCATGCATTGATATGGATGAGAACATTATGGTCTACAGTGTTGAAAGAGTTAAGAGATTATTGTTTTTAGTTTATACTTATATTTTATGATATACTTATATACTTATTTTTGTAATAATATGGAGCAGATTACTAGATACTGCAAAGCCATTTATTCACGCGGGACATATTTTGTTGTGGAAATGCTGTTTCTGTGTGTCGAGAATAAAAGTAACGCACGAATATTAACAGCTTCGCGGTGGCTTTTCGCAAAATATTTTTTCGACTTTTCATTTCTCATTTTTATCATGACATCATTGGGATCGTCATGACTGGTCATATATACTCTATATTACTTATGTTATACGTGATTTTTATAATCGCAAAATTTCGTTTTAAGAATTGATTGCGCGAATTCATTCATGTCAATAATCAATTTGACATGCAGAATAAGACATACACGTTGAACGAAATGCATATTAATGTTCTCGCCAATGTTACGGAGACATCGGGTCACGAAAAATATGTGTGCACCAAGCATAAATCCTAACATTGTGCATATATTATTGCGAAAAATCTTTGCGAACCAATCGTCTCAAGCATGCCTGCAAATTTGTGGGTTTATGAAATTTATGTCATTTACAGTTACTGTAAAACAACCAAGACTAATGTGTTATATCCTATTAATATCCGTAAATTTAGATATCAGATTAAATACAGTTTACTGGATATACGGTAAATGTACATATTTTAGTGGTATTCTAATTTTAGCGGTTTTAGCTCTTTAAATATTGCGCTTATTTGTGATTGCGCTAATTAAGGTTTTTGTATATACAGTAAAACCCCGTTTACTCGAACTCGTAGGGTCCAGATCAAAAAGTTCGAGGAATACATGGTCTTCGACGAATCCGAGGTTCGACCGATATCGTCATATTTTTTATCAGGTGGGGCAACAGACAGTACGAGCACTGCAACTATCGCGGATAGTAAATGACAAAAGAAAAAAAAAAGTTAAGCAAGATGACAGCATACAATAAGTTTTAAAATAGCTAAACAATGAAAACGTATAGCCAACGTTATTAGGAAAGAAAATACAATTAAAAATGTGTAATTAACGTACTTGTCGTTTAGACATAGCTTTCTATTGCATATATGATTTTAATTGTCGTAAAATGTGTTAAAATATAAAAAATATGCTAAAATTTGCATCCGCTAAAATATGTATTCTTACAGTATTCATGTATCGATTACTGTAGTGTATTGTTTTCCAATGAGATTTTTCAGTGACTTTTTCCATTGTTTTATTTTTGTATGGATTGTTTTCCTGTATGATATGATAAAGTTTTAACATCGTTTCAATGTGTTGATTATTGATATGTATCCATTCCAGTAAGCAAATGTGATACCTTTGGTAATTGTTTAAATGGAATATTGAATAAGGATTGACGGCATTTTTTCAATTTCATACCTGCATGAACATTGAAAAAAAATGCCGTTCAATCTTAATTTATTCATTCTAAATTTTAAGTAGAGTATTATTTACCTAGATACAGACATTCTCTTACTTTTTTTAATATAAAGTGTTTATGTCGTCAGTGCAAAAGAGATTCCTGGAACTGCCTAAAGTCATCAAATTGTTTGCTCCCAACAGTTGTCGTGTTATTCGAGGCGAGAGGAGAAGCTTCAAATTGACGCTGATCAAATTGCGTTCATAGCCCTATAAATGCAATTTCTTATGGCAATGCTTCCTGAGGAAATAGTAGTGTAAATGTAAATAAATTACAAAGTATTTTTTGTTGTGTGCGATAAAAAAAATGTCATTGTATAATGGTATCACTTACTGAAGTGTATTGTTTCGCTGTATGTTTAATCCGGTGTCGGCGTGCACGTCGGTGCTGATTAACTAAAATAACCTCCGGTATTGGTACATTGATGCTGATATTTGACACGAAGGTTACATAGGAATCCAACGCAGACGTAATGAAACTAAAATAGGAAAAATTCTAAAATCATTTTTTTTCTTCTCTCATTTTCACCAAAATCTCCAAGTTAAATAATAAATAATTTTAAAGTGTTGGTGCAAGCGTTGAAGTTTGTAAATACATGTACAACCTTCAG